AAAAAAAGATGAAATCTTGGAATATATAAGTTTTCGGAAAAAAAATTAATCGAAGATTAGATAGAAGATAATTTTCGAGTAAATTTATTCAAGAATTTACACTTATTTCGATATATTTACAATGGAAATCGGCATTTGTTCTCGAATCAATTAAACATGAATTCAATGGATTCCCCGTTAAAATAGTATTCTAAAAAGAACGGTAACAAATAAGGGAATAATGTGTCGCTTTAATGGCACCACAGTCTAACAATTTCAGTGTTTTAATTAGCCTTTGCTACATCGGAGCAATTACGCCGATTAACGGGAAGATACACAACTGGAGCGAGAATTTTTATACCAACGATCAGGATTTATGGCCTAATGGAATTTTTTTTTTAAAGTGGAGAAATATAAACAGGTATTTATCATTTGTAATAAAATATATGATAAATATGATTGATATTTTCATGTATTAAAGTAAAATCTGTTTTTATTAAAATAGAAAAAAGAATTACTGATATGTGATTGTAACATGTTAATTAAAAAATATTATCCAAGCATTAGCATATTTTTAAACACCAAATACATAATTCCATTTTTAAAAAACACATTAACGAATGTTTTATTCTATAATATATCGAGTAATTATGATTCTTAAATACATGCTAAGTAAATATAGATGTTTGAAGTCAGACATAGTAACATGATGATTAATAAAATTCTTTTCTATCCTAATAGAATAGAGTTAACACATTCAACAACTAATTCTCTAAATTCACTTCTATATAGTATCTTCTTTACTTTAATTAAAATAATTAGTTAATATTTTGTTATTCTTTTTTTCTAACAACCAAAACGAATCCGAATCCCTCAACGACTCACGATAAAAGTGCATTAATTCATCCAACTTAAATTTCTAGCTTGTATAATTTTCATATTTTCATTCACGTCTCGAGAAACAAAATAAATAAAACTCGTACAACAAATAAGAGCAATCGAATCGGTTTAATCCAAAGGTTGAAAAAAATCGGTGATGATCCACTTCAAAGCCAAGCATTCCAATTTACACGTAGCGTAGAATCGACGCGCGGAACAACGAACTCGGCCGAACAAACGAAGAGGAAGAGGCCGGGCTAAGAAGCGAGCGCTGCAACGGGCGAGCAAGAGCAAAAGGGTTGGAACTCTCGGCTAGTATGGCGAGAATCTCTCCGCCATAAAGATTCGTATCGCTCTGGAAACGTCGAGCTGCTCCTCTTCTCCCTGCATCCCTCCTCTCCCTTTCACCCGTCCATCTTCCTCGTCCCTCTTCCTCGATCATCCCCGCGCGAGGAGCGAAGGGGGCGGGCACGAGGGCAGTGGGCGTCCCTTTTCGAGATTTACGACGATTTAATCGTACAATTAATCTAACACCTTGTTGCAACAACACCTCGTACCGCGTATCTCCGTTACCTCCGCCGACTCTTCACGATTCCAGGGGGAAAAATCGCGGCCGTCTGCTTCAGGAAGGAAGAAAGGCAGGAAGAAAAGGGTAGAGAGAGGAGTGGAACGGATCGAAGAAGAGGAGCTGTGGCTCTTCTTCTTTCCTTTCTTTCTTTCTTTCTTTCTTTCTTTCTTTCTTTATTTATTTCGATCTATCGTGGTCGAATCGCTGGCAGAAAAGGTGTACCGCGGCGTTAAAGGCTGAGTAACTGGCCAAAGCGATCGGAGCAAGGGTGTACGGAGATGAAGAGAGGAAATAGACGTGCGGTGGTCGGGAGGGGGAGGGAGGAAAAGAGATAGAGAAGGATTTTTGCGGCTATGGATGGCGCAGTGGTGCGCAAAATTCATTTTTAATGGCGGTGAAGATGAGATTCAAGTTCAAGTTTTCCCGTTTCTTTTTTTTTTTTTTTTTTTTTTTTTTTGTTATTTAATTTGTTACCATTCTTTGGAAATGAGTGAGTAAAGAATTCTATTTATCCTTGAAATTATATTTAATTAATTTATTTAAATTATATTAAGTATAATTACGATTTCATAGGTTTCGATTATTAAATATTAAGGTAAGGAAATAATATCTAAAGAAAAGGATTGCTCGTTTATTAAAGCGGCAGTTTACAGTTTCAATATATTTTTTGTATATTTGAGAATTATCCAAGGTGATCGAGTTAATTTGAGAGATAACAAACATCGATTAACATTCATCATGAATTCCAGAACCATTGAAATACGAAATTAATAGTTCGATATATCTTTGATATAAAAAATTAATTAAATTAAGATATAATGTGTAACTCATGCTGCGTAAACATTTCCAAATATCTTTATTCTATCACTTCCAATTAAAAAATATTATTAAGTGATTTCATTTAAATAAATGATGAAAGATGTGAAAATCTCAAACCTTAAATCTATTAGAAATTAAACTAAGATTATCATATATTATTAAAAAAAAAATCACCACGAAAATCTACAAATATTGAAAATTATCTTCCAAATTCAAAGAAGTAAATATCGAAAGATTAATACAGATCGCAAATGATTGCGCATCACTGATCCTAATACCAGCTATTTTTTACAAGTGTGTAGGCACGTATAGTTACGTGGAATAAATGAATCTTCCAGTTATTTTATCAGCCCGCCATTGTTTTGCGATCTGAGAGAGGTCCCGTGGCCGACACTCTTAAGCAGATGTAATTTAAACGTGGATGTGTTTCGCTTCGGATCGGGAAAAATCGGTATCGTGCCTGTTTTAACGCTCCCTCGAGATAACGAGTCGATACGAGGAGCGAACACTAAAAATGATTAGGCACAGATATCATTCGAGGTATAATGTGTACTCTCGATACACGTTGATACGCGTCCACGATAAATTAACGTGGTATTTTTTTTTTACTTTATCACAAAAAGAAAACATGAAAATTGAATTTTCTTCCAATGAGAGAATTGTTCATAACAATTCAAACGAATTATAATTATAATTACCAAGAAACAAATTATAAAGTTTATCATACAATTGTACTTCAAGCAAGAAAAAATTAATTCTCATTTATAAAATTTAATTCACCTTGTTACTTACTATTGTAATAAGAAAATTTATCAATACAATTTATAAATACAAATACAAATATCAACGATTTAAACAATAAAACATAAAATTCGACGAAAGGAAACGTTCGTAATCGTAAACAACCCAACCAAGTTATTAACACCCAATAACAATCATCGAATCCTCCTTTAATCCCGATATTAACAAATAAAATACATCCAAATAACTTAATCTCTGTGCAATATCAAATCCTTCCTTCCGGATCGACTACTCCCGCTGCTAGAAGCCGACCGCTGAAGCCGAACGGTTGAAAAGCGAACCGTATACCCGATAATGGGACAGAGCCGTGGACAGAGGCACAAGTAGTGTCGAGTAACGGATACGAATCGGCGAAAATTCCAGCCACGTATAACCGTGGAACCGAGCATAGGTGCACCTGCGGGCCCTCTTTTGCGCCTCCTCGAAGGGGGGCCGCGCGAGTAGGAGCCGTCCACGGCGTTGTTCCCCGCCGATATAGAGACTGCCGGTGTGCACGGAGACACCCCCGCAAACGAGCGGATCGCGCGTGTGTCCGTACGACCAAGGACAACAACATTCTCCGCAAAACTAATTGCCAGGTAAGTATATACGAGCGACGAGCCCGGTCGAGCGCGGCCGAACACGCGCCGATACACCTTCACGGGGCTTGGGAGACTTACTAAACGAGAGGAGCGTGGACGAACAATGAGATGCTCGGCAAGATAGGAGGCGAGAGGGAAAACGAGGAAAAGGTATTCGGTGGATAGTCTTTCGAGAGGAGAATAGTTGGTTTTGAAAAAAAAAATAAAAATAAAAGAATTGATGAGAGCTGAAGGATGGATTTGACGAAGGTGATTGACGAAGATTTTGGAGGGAGGATCGGGAGGGAGGGCGGAAAGGATATTGGGAAGATAGGAAGGGGGAAGGTAAATTTGTTGTTGGCAAAAGGGAATGTGAACCAAGAAAAATGTTGATTGGGAAAAGGTTAGTAGGGAAATATGGAAATAGAAGGAGGTAAAAGGAGGTGTGTCTTATGAGGGTGAATATTTTTGGGAAGTTGAATGATTATAGAGATTATATATATATATGTAAGAAAGGTGGTCGAAAATAAGAAAAGGAGTTTTCGGAAGAGACGAACGAGAGGAGAAATCGAACGTCAAAAGCGAAATATTGATACAAGAGGTAAGAAAAAAATGATAAGAGTGGTAAAAATTAATAAGGAGAAAAAGTGAGAGGTGAATTATGGGACCACCACGAAAGACGAATGAAAGAAAGAGCGGTGTAACGATGTTTAAGGGGCAAAGACAAAATGGAAAAAGATAATTACGAAATTAAATATATCGTAAAAAAGAAAAATGGAACGGATAGAAAAATATGGCGAGAAGTATAAAATAATAATACACAAAATTATAAATGTGCAGCAAAGAAAAGTGATATCGCGAAGAAAAATGAATAAAATTGCGAACAATTATCCAAGTGCAAAATCCAAATAAATAATACAATATGTATTCTTTTTAAAATATTACCAATTTTTGCTCGCGTGTATTACGTATTAAACTTTAAAAAAAAAGAAAAAGAAAAGGATTCAAGAAAGAAAATTAATAATAAAACAACTTGCTCGTTTATATTTTTCGAAGAAACGAGCTACCTATCTGATTAATTAAAGTTAAGAAAGTTTTCAACAACTCGTATCATTAACAAATAAGATAAGATAAAAAGAAGAGGAAGCACGGATCAGGTAAATGTGTACGGAAAAACTGAGAGAGAAAGATAGAAGAAGCGAGCAGAGGGACAGAGACGGAGGGAACAAAGAGCGAACGAAACAAGGTGGGGAGGAAAGAGAGAGGCATAGGAGAAGTATGTATATATCTGTATGGCATAGAATTTATTGCTGAGGACCGGGCTGGACCCCGTTGGGGAGTAACAGAGAGAAAGAGACATACTCGTACGAGAGCGCATAATTTATGCTCTCATTATGCGACAACCAAGATTCATTACGGCCAACAAGCATTGTCGCGCCGATTCGGAGATCGATCATGGCTTGGTAAGTAAATGCACGGACGATCATCGGATATCGCTATTATTTTTTTATTATTATTTATTTTGAAGTAATCTGATCGCATAAATAAACAAAAGTAAGAATATTACAATTTGAAATAGGAAACGTATAAAAAAAAGAAAAATGATTTATTAAAATTTCATCGAAATGATTAAAAATAATTTAAAATATCGATAAGATTAACAAAATTATATCATTTCTAAGGAAAAATTACACTTTGTCACTTTGTGTTGTTGATTATTCTATATCTTTAAGAAAAAATATAGAATAATGGATTTGAAAAATTGTTAAAAGTAAAAGATTTGGTATTAATTGGCTGTTAAATTGATGTGAAGAATGAGTTAATATATTTTGATTGTTTGAATGATGGATAAGTTAAAAAATTGTTGAGTTGCATAACGATACATAACGAAGGAAAAAATTGAAGTTGAATACAATTTGCACGTTTGTACAGCCTTTAAAGTTAACCGGTGAAAGAGAAAGGACCTCCGTGTAACTCCGACCCCACAATTATCGCCTTTCTTTGGATTATCCATCGGCCTTGAGACGTGTTGCGCTCTTTACAAACGCGTACACGCGCAATTTACTTGACTGTTGAAACGGTGGTTAATAAATTATAATCTTACGAGCAACATTGTGAGATGAGTCGAAATATTAATCTTTATAATTATAACATTTGTATATCCATTTTTTTTCGTAGCTTTATTATGTGAAATAAATTTGGCAACTCATAATTTACAGTGTGTAATTTTGAAATACTGGCTTCAAATAAGTTTGAAAATAATTTAAAAAAAAAAAAGTCATCGTGCTGGACCACCTATCGTGACCATTCTAATTATTTTCGTTATTAATGAACCAATTAAAATATTTTTTTGCCGCAGATGATACAATTTTAAAGGAGATCTCTTTTAAACAAGTTTTCAAGGTTTGATTTCAACTTTTTTTCTCCTATCAACTAATTAACAGACTCATAAGGATAAATTCTTAAAAACATTTCTTTTTTTATCTAATAACAACATATCATTCTTCCTGCAGATAAAGACAAAAATTCCATCGAGATAATATCAACGTCTCTCTCATCATTCCTAAAAAAAAAAAAAAAAAGAAAAAAGTTCTCAACGATTGAACGATCTTTCCAATACTTTCATTTTCCATACTACTTTCTCGTAAACATTAACAAAAAAATTCAAAAACTTGGAGCACTCGATCCCATCGCATTACGTCGCGACATAAACTCCATCCTCCCCTTCAGAAGATCCTTGATCAATCCTCAACAACATTTAATCGATCTTCCCAATACTTTTTACCCGCGCACTCTCAACGATACCCGATCCATCGAAACCACGATTTTCACTTATGTCGCTCGCAAATACACGCGTGTGCCTGATTTATCCGCGACAATGTCCCCCACTGGTGAAAAGAAGAGATATATTCGATTTATCCAGGGACAGAGAGGTTCTCCTGCGAGGAACATTCAATTATCGAACTCGAGAACGATCCCTCCGTGTCCCGTGCGTTTTATCTCGATGTACGACCTCGGAAATCCGGCCGCCGCCATTTTAATATCGTTCCTTCTCCCGCTCGTAAATCGATCTCGCGAGAAATACGCGTGTTACTCGCGTTTAATTCGTGCTCGAATCCAAAAGGGGGAGGGGAGAAAAGGGATTCAAGATGGTGCAAAGAAGAAGGGGGGAAAAGAAAAAAAAAAGAACGGTTCAATTTGTGAGTTCGACCTTGCGGTTCGAAACGACGGTGTTCGAGGATCATGTTCAACGATCCTCTGGTCTCGTTTTGTTCGGTTCATCGTGAATAATTGTCCCGCTAGTCGACGGTGCTTATTAATCCACCGACGCTGCCTTTGAACAGGTTTTTGCATTACAACTCTGTAGCCGGCCAGATTGCGGTAACGGGATTAAAAATTATTCACAGAGAGATTGTTCGTTCGGTAGAATGTGTAATTATAATGCGAAATCGTTTTCGAAAGAGAGAGAGAGAGAGAGAGAGGATGGAAATGGTTGGTTCTTGGTTGGTTGGCCGCCCCGTTTTCATGTTTCGAGAGGGGTTTTCCTTTTAAGTTTCGATAAACCGATTTATAAATCTCCCCACGGTAGAGAGAGATTATCTCTCCGGTGCAATGTACATTTTACATGTTACAAGATAAACTAAGAAATAAGGAGCAGCATTTATCTTGTTGAACTTTTCAGAAATGAGTAAATTGGATAAGTGAATTTTCTTTCAGAAATTTTGTACGATTCAAAATTAAAATAGTTATTATATATTTCACTGATATTTTTCAATCCTATTCTAAATATATATTATTTAAAATAAATAACTTTGTAAAAAAAGAAAAATAATTATTTTATTATCAGATTCGTGAAACTTGAAGAATCTGACTGATTATAATAAATATTATTCGAATGTTTGGAAAAAAATTGTTCGAAGCGAGTAATTTCCCACGAAAATGATAAACATGGAAATATCAATGGCGGCCACCAACATTGCTAAAACATTGATTGAGCAATTATTGAAGAATTAACGTGGATTATCGACTACAAGGTATTAAATATTGTTGACTCGTTTCATAATGTAACGAAACGGGTTTTTGCTTTCGAAACGATTATCGATAATCGTAATTATTGGCCAGATGGTTGATAGAACGACAGATAGAAGGGGAGGGAGGGGCGTGTTAAATCGTGCGTTCGTTCATATTTATTCAAGACAGAAGGTAACCTCGCGCGTTTGATAGCTGCCGATTGCAAAGCCATCCGAGACGATTAATCTCCTTCATCTTTATCCGTCTCGCGATCCTCTGTATCTCATCTTTCCATCGAAAGAAGGTTACTCCCCCTTCCACTTATCTTTTTAACCCTTTAACCTTCTGGTTAATTCTCTACTCGCGTATAGATATCGCAACTTTCTTCTCTCTTCCCCCCCCTTATTTTTCGCGATAATAACAACTTCGCTGGATTTTTATGCAAAATTAAAAAAGAACTAAGAAGAAATGAATAAAGTGAAATTTTCTTTATTCCTCCAATATCGTAGATGTATTATTATATTTTGTATTATTATATTTTGAATATTTTGAGCATATCGTTGCGCACACTTTGCAGATATAATCGAAATTGATTCATAAAATTATTTACAAACGCTTATAATTTTTTGTGTAATGAAATTTTGAATTATCTGTTGTAGCGAGTACATACATCATCGAATAACAACAATTCATTACGTATTCAATTGATAATTATCAATTCATAAGGGTACATCGTTTCGATTAATTAAAATTTTAATTAAAAACTCGGAGAAAAGTATTCTCTTGGTTAATAGTAAAACACATTAGCAAGCAATTAATCTTCCCGATTCGAGACACGAGGTCGTTCATCTTAACCTAAGAGCGTCGCAACATTAATTTCAAACGACACTTGTACCATGATAAATTCTAAAAAAAAAAGAAAAATTCGAGGTATTCACAAGTATATTTTCGCGGACAATTCTCAGTCTTCTTCTTCCGCGGCAACTTGTGCGAATAGTTTCATAGTTTATTCAGTGTTTTCGTATTTTTCCTTTTGCACCTTATTACCCGGCCATAGACACGTTCACCGGTCTTTCACGTTGCCTTCTTTCACGTTGCCTTTTCTAACAACCTTGTCCCGCAAGAATGTAATCGGTTCCAAGGATGCGGCGGAACCGAAGAGGAAAGGGGTCGATAGGTTAAAGGGGTTAAGAAAGATAGAGCTAATTGCTCGCGGCGTAATATTTCATAGGTGTGTGCACAAGTGACGTGCGGGATAAATAAAAATGGCCAAGTTTATACTTGGAGCCGTTTAATTAAAGGCTCGATGGGATGTTAATTCAATCTCGTTCCTCTTTGATCGGCGCTTTAATCGTTATCGTATTGGCTTTTCAACGGTTCTAATAAAGTAGAATTATTTATATATATATGTTCGATGATCTATTCATTTATTTCGATATATCGAAAAATTTAAGGAAAAGGATTAAGTTTGATTAAGATATTGTGAATGGAGAATGTTTTTGTGCAAAAATGTGAATAATATAATATAGTTGTGGAGTTAATTTAGGATTAATTTTTAGAGAAAATTTCCTCCGTGAAATTCTCGCGAAAAAAATATAAATTTATTTTAGAACGAAAATAGTTTTATGAATTGTTATGCTTTTATGTTCTGAGTATACTTATATTAGTTAAAAAATTTTGTAGATTAATAACAATTACAGAATCCTAGAGTAACATCTTTAAAATTTGTCAAGTATTTATTTAAGGGAAAAAAAAATTGCATTACAATTTTCGAAAATTAATAAAATCAATTGATCTTTCAAATTTTCAATATTACGTCGATTGATTTAAAGGAAATATACCTGTATGCATATAATAACAAATTAAACACACGCGATGCAAATTGTTTCGAATATTAAAAGAGGGATAAATAGATACATTAAGAAAAAAAATAACACGTTTTTCCATTTGAAGGTCTGAAAAAAATCGTTTCCTTATCGCGAAAACGAGATTTACAACTATAATACCTGGTTTCTCGAGGCACCTTTTACACAAATTAGCAAAAGCATCGAATTAGAAATGCAGATCGACCGGCTACTGTAATCGATACGCCATCTTTAAAAATAATATTAGCATAAAAGTTGACGTTCACAGCATTTCAAATGTAACTCGCATAATTATGAATCGATGCGACTATTGCGTAGAATATAAAAAAGAGGAGAAATGTCGGTAGATTGTTTCATTAGATTAATAATTTATCAATAAGATGTAATTTAATATAATAAAATATTTGTTTTATATTATATGAATTTTTATATCTATATAAATATATATACGTGTGTGTGTGTATGAAATTGTACAAGTTGAAATAATTCGATATATCGAATTTCAATATATATTTCCTGTGAAAAAGTTAGGGAATAACGATCAACTAAAGGAATCTAATTATAATAATTAACCTTATCTTACGATGGAAATAACTCAAGATATTATCGAATCGTTGAATCACTTTGCGATCGAAAGATGCTCAAGAAAGATATAAAGATTGAGAATTTTATTAAAAAAATATTTCATCCACAACGATCGTAATACAATTGTGGAGGATCAATGTTAGATGTTAGTACGATTTCTTATTTTTCATATTTTGAAAATTTTAACAAGTTACTCGATTAGACTCGAATGTGAATATTCTTGCCTTAAATACCGTGTATATTTCTTATCTACTTTTTCATCTTGCGTTTATAAAAATCAAGGTTATGTCCTTATTATACCAATTATTGCAACAGAAAGTATAGGACGAGCAAAAATAAACGCGATACGATTAAAAATCCTTAATGAGGTAATAAATACCGATGAAATGAAAACAGAGAGAAAAAAAAATAAATCTAGATTCGTTAAAATTTCCTTACCTGTTTTCGAGACGAACGATCGTTTACCGATTTTTTTGCTATTTTTTTTTTTTTTTTTTCCATTTCTAAATCGATCCCGTTCCAAATTGAATCTTTTAACGATGAGAAATGAATATAAAATACGAGCCCGTATTCGAAATAAAGAATATATGCTTCCTTCTCGAGGAAAGGAAACGTGCTTTATCTTTTACTTTATTCAAATCGTTGCCTCGAGTAAATTGCGTACCGTGAGGCAATTAGTTCCTACATTTTTATTCGACTTAACCTTCGACCTCCTCCTTTTCCAATTCATGGAATATATATATAGTTAGAGGGAAGAATTGAAACGAAACATATATCGATAGTAAACGAGGATGTTTATTGTTAATTATTCAATAGACTAGTTCTTAATGATTCGTATATTTTTCGGATACAAAATATATTTTTTCGTATATAATAGATCACTGATTTTATGATTCATTTATTAAGAGATTAATCGAATATAGATCCAATTTTACTACACACTTTGTGTATATACTATTTCTTCTTCTAGTTTTAATCTTAATCGAGCATTCAGTCAAAATTAGATATCAATAATTTCGTTCTTAATAATTTCTGCTACCTCTATTTTCATTATCCAATAACTTGCATCATTTTAAAAATCCAAATTCTATTATAATTCTGAATTATATTCATCTATAAAACACACATCTCAAACTTCGTAATCATTTCAAACATAAATTTGCATTTTTATAGAGACTCAAACGAACCTAAAAAATCCATAAAAGATCTCAAGCATAGAGACTCTCCAAATAAAAATCCAAATCGAACGTAACCAATTAGTTTCCATTACCATTTTCAAAAGAAAAAAGAAAAAAAAAAGATCTAAACGCAAAGAAACTTCAATCGAAAGATCCAAAAGAAATCCAAACCGAACGAATCCACCCCAAACTCAACTTCGTATTCACCCCTCCTTCTTCCCCCACCCCCAAGAAACTTCTTAATGAAAATCATCCCGTTAACCCTGGTTGATGGTCGCGATGAACGAGCGGTGAAAAAAAAGGGGCAGAGACCTTGAAGGGTGCAAATCGTGGAGTACATTCGAGAGAAAGAGGGAGGGGAGAAGGGGAGAGAAGCTCTATCGCGGAAACTATCAGGTCGTCGTCCAACGACGCCTGTAATCTAGGGCCGTAACCACTTGCTCTCTTGGATAAGACTGTTGAAGGGAGGTAGGGAGGGGGAGGAGGATAAAAAACCGGCAGAAAATGAAATACGGATTACAGTGGTTGGCCGAGCCACGATAATGACGGGTAATGACGATCCACGGCCTGTACCCTTCGCTACCACGTCCCTGTCCGGATCAGATTTTGCCATTTTTTCGCGCCCGCCCCCGCTCTCCCCTCCCCTCCCCCTCCTCCGTTCTGTCGTCGATGGACGAGCAATTTTCGTTTACGGAGTTACCCACCCCTTTTGTCGTCGTTCGAGCCTCATCGTTCCGATATAAGGTTACCATTTGTCCTCGTCATCGACTTAACGCGCGTTTTCGCGCTGAATCCTACCACCCCCTCGTTTAGCGATACAACTTGTTTCTTAATTTTTTTCTTTTCTTTTCTTTTCTTTTCTTTTCTTTTCTTTTCTTTCAACACGATAGATCTTCGAGAGAGATGCGTGAAATATGAGATATCTACGTAGATGTATTCTTCTTAATTGAGCTTGTTGTGTTCTTCCGTTGAGAAACGTTGAGAATTCAAAGAGAAAATTTGCGATATATTTCATATTCGGGAAAGAAAGTTTTTTCGACTATTTTTGTTTTATGTTCAAATTTGAAAAAAAATAAACACTTATCGATAAATGTAAAATTTTTTTTAAAATTAATTTTCTCTCAATAATTTTATAAGGAAAATGTTTCATCACCTTCCAAAAAAAAAAAAAAATTCCCACCTCGATTCCCCTCCACTCTGTTCGTACAACGAATTCGCAGAATTTTCTGTGAACGAGATAAGGGGAGAAAAAGAGGGGGAAGGGGGGATTCGATCAAAGAGATTCTGTCGGTGGCGGCGCGAGCCATCGGGCGACGTGCGAATGCGAACATAAATCCAAATTAGCGGCAACATAACGCAATCGTGCACCGATAGAGGTACTACGATTCAGAGGGGGGGAGGATCTTCTCTCTATCTAGAGGCCGGTGTTCGCACGCGCGAATGACAGTAAATCGTATGGCCGCCGGTATCGGAGAATTCGATCAAACGCTCGTTTCGCGGATGCCAATGGTTGTTGTTCCAAGTGGCGTGAAAACCGATCTACCGCGATCTTCTCGATAGATCTTCCTCTTCCGCCGATTTCTTCCTGGTTCTGATATTAGGTAGAACGACAGTTATCTGAAATATTAGAAAATCACTATTAGCATTTATTTTGTTGAGATTGACAAATTTTTATGTTATAAGGATATTTATTTATATTGAATACATTATAATCTTTTTTTTTTTAAAGTATTCTGTTTAATATCGAACGCTTTGTGTAGTATAAAATTGTAATATATCATATATTTTACGTAGTTTCGAAAGATGGAATAGAGAAAATTTATATTTATTTATATTATTTAAATTAGTTATAAGAAAATATGAAAATAAGAATTAAATGTCTAGTTGATGGTATATTTTTCTAAATGTTTTATTTAGTAATAGAAAACAGGTTAAAAATATATATATGATATATGTACATAAATATATGAAAATAGATATATATATATAGAATATATTGAATAAATTCTTAAAACTTCCCCAATCAATTCGATTAGAAGTAAAGAAGGCAATAAAGTTAATTCAGATAGTATCGATTCCGTCTCTTGAACGCATGAATTTGTAGAGTGAATGTAGACAAGGAAAGTAAATGATGAGAGAAGGACAGAGATAGTGTAAAAATATTGAAATCAGCGCCATCTTCAGAGTGCCGCAAATGAAACTCACGAAAAAAGGACAGAAGATAGTAAGAAAAGGATAGAGATAGAGTAAAAATCGAACTGCTGGCGCCATCTCTCGAGTATTTCGTAAACTTTTCTTCAAAGTTCTCTTAACACTCAAAAGATGGCGCTAAACTTCGATTCCTACTCTACTTTATCCTTCTTTTACTTCTACTTTATCCTATCTTTCGAAAAAGTGTCTTTGGTGTCCGAGAGATGGCGCTGACGGTCAATTCTTATTCTCTATCCTTTTCTCATTATCTTCTATCCTTTTTATTTGTGTTTAATTTGCGGCACTCTGAAGATGGCGCTGATTTCAACATTTTTACACTATCTCTGTCCTTCTCGCATAGTTTCTCCTTGTCTAGCACATTCTACTTAATTCTAGCGCGCGATATAAATCGAAAAATATTTTTATTATTTTTTTTTTTCGAAAACAATGTATCTTAAAATTTAATAGAGTCAACAAAAACTTAATATCATATAATTTTAATGAAAAATAAACAAAATATTAATTCAAAAATTAATTTTATAATTTATCAATATTTATATAATTATATATATATATTCATAAACGTTTTTAAAAATGTATCAACATTTAAATACATGGGAAATGTTCTCTCACAGATTTCTACAGGTTCCAAGACTTAGATAACTTTGTTATAATACATTAAACTTCGATATCTTCTTCAGGAGCAGGTAAAATCACTGTCGTTACGGTAACTGGTTTCGTTTTCGACTTCTTACAGACCAAAATCTCCATTCTTCCCGATATTCTACCGTTCAAAATCGCGTTAACGATAAATGGAATCGGAACACCGCTCGGTAAAAGAGGTACGTCCATCATACGTGGTTTCACTTCTATGTTCTCACTCCTGCAAACGATGTACAGATCCGTGTCGGAGAATTCGTCGGATATATTCGTCAGCAAAATGCGAATTTGATAATGCGGTCCCAATCCTAAAACTGTAGCTTCCACGGTAAGAGAGTGCGATCCAGCGTCTTGACTGTCGTTCAAAGATTCGACTACCTTCTTGGCTACCATTAATCTCAATCGAAGCAGACCTTGCTGAAAAGTAGTGTGTATCTTCTTCGCTTCTGATCTTTCGCGTATCGTTTGCTCGACAAACAGTCGCGTTTTCTTCGGTATCAGAAATTTAGAACCGTCGTTGATCGATAGATCGGACATTGGATTGTGAATACTGAAATCGGCGGTGCGTTTCAAAATCTTCACGCAGAGGCCACCTCCTACGGTGACCATCGCCATTGTTCGTTCTTCTTGACCCATTTTACCGTACTATTTTAAAGAAAAAGAAAAAAAAAAAAGAAGAATACAATTCATCAATCATTAGTATTTAGCTTAAAAAATAATTTTTCTCCTAGATGTATGAGGTATACCTTCATAGCTGAAACTGGTTCCATAATCTTCAACGTGTCTACGTGATGCTTTCCATCGTATACACGGATACCATATCCAGCTGTACTCACAGCAAGCAAAGAGAGTCCAATTTGAGGAACTGGTAAGCTTATCGAATCCAAAATTGCTCCCGGAACGCGAACGTGCCAAAGTTTAATTCCCTGTTTATGGATTAATTCATCGGCTATGATTTATATTCGAAATAAAAAAAAAATACTTCGTATACCTTTCTGGAGAAACCGATCAAAGTGCCATCCATCGTGGTAACCGCGATGCCCTCGTTATTAAGGGCTGAAATGGCTACAGCAGGTGACGATAATTTTTCCCAAAGTTTGACAGAACTTCCCCTCCTTATCATGCCAATTCTACCATCCCTTCCGATAATTAATACTCTTCCATCACCTGTCCACAAACCTATACACGCAAAAGCAACTGGTGGCCATTGCAATAAATGTTTATCCATAATGGAGAACGTTCTAAAACAAATAGACATTTCGTAATTTACTTAATTATTTTTTAATTATACAAAAAAAAATATATAATTGAATAAAAATGAATGAAATACCGAGGATCCAATATAAGTATTTCTCCAAATTCCGTACCCAGCACGAGACAACTACTTGCCGGATCGTTCCACGAATCTCTTCGAATCACAGAAATCGCAGTTAAGGCGTTACTTTTAACGAGTGGAATCCTTCTGTACTGTTCTGCGAAACTAGCTCTCAAATTCTTATCCATGCATAAGAATTTCAACGTTCTCGGTGAAATAAATCCAGCTCCAAGTTCGTTTAACAAAAGATCCAATTCGTCGGCTAATGTGAGCACGTTCAATTCCTCGTCCAATCCAGCCTTGTGCCAAATCTATCAATAGATTTTTTCCTTCAATTTTGTAAATCGAAAAAGTATTTGTCTTTAAATTTAGAGAAAGAAGAATTTTCTGTACCTCTCGTTCTTTTGGATGTGCCTCGATGTGCGGCAAACAGTATTTAAAATAAGGTCTCATATTTTTAAAGATGTAGACGCTAGGGCCAACACCCACTGCCACTACGGAGGATCGAGGTTCTCCATTTTGCGTGTAAAAACCGACCACCCCACAAGGTAGATCTACCATGTTGTGCTCGGTTATCTGATCGCCTCCTTTGTAAACTCGTATCTGAAAATGATTTGTATAAACGTGTGTAATATTAATTAGAGATTATATTTTGTAGAACGTATATATTTGGGAAAGATGTACGATATCAATGATCTTTTTTAATTATTAAAAATTGTATCTCACTTTAGGCGAATTGACGTCGAGAGCTCCCAAATCAGCACAGACAAGCCTGGCATCTCCATCGCCGCTTACATCGAGCATATCTAATCCATTTGGTAAAGTGTGCAATTTGGCAGCTGGTTCCCAAAGAGCCTCTAACCAGCGACTCGTACCTAAGCTGCTAATATTGTGTTCACCTCTGAAAATTATAGATAATAAAAATTAGATTTATAAAACGTTTCAAAATCTATATATTTTGCATTTTAAAATCGAATGATTAGATTAATTTTAAACAATAAAGAAATTGAAGGAGAAATTAATTTTTTTTCTTACCGTAAGCCATGCATATTCATAGTTTTTCTTTAAGTCGAAATATTATTTTCAATATTAGAATTCATCGTTGAATTCTCTTTTTAAAAGATGTCATCACAAGGATGTTGAGATTTTTAAAATAATTCCTTTTTGAAACAAAAGCAAATGAGTATTGCGATTGTCGAATAGAAGAAAGATTAATCATATTTAACAAATTTACTTAGAGAAAACGATTCAACGATGTGGCCCCTGCTTTGTTGTGAACATTTGTATCCATAGAAATATTCACGTGTACATAATATCAATGATCGCGCGCAACTCGTTATATTTACTACAATGTTACGTTACAATACGTAAAATATAATTATTTTTACATATTAATTTTATAATATTTATAAAATGTCGTACAATTTTAATGAATTATATATAAGAAACGAATAAATCTGAATTCGATATATTTTTTTATTAACATATGATAATTTTTTTACGACTATTTTTTTTTCATAGAACAATATTTATAATCACTATTCATTGTTATTCTCATGTGTTTCGTTTCCTCCAGAAATTAAGTTCAACTTGACCTATTCGTAATAATAAACATACGAATCACAGTTGTAAAGTATTTAGTCAATTTCGAAATAAAGCATTGGATGATTTTTAAGTTATTATTAAAAGTAATGAGAGAGTAAAAATTGTTTTTTTTTTAAATTTTGTGAAAAATATAATCAATTCTATATTTGTTTCATAACAAAATTGATAAGATTCTGGAATCTTAGATAATGCACGCACCCACAAAATTGATGAATATAAAATATGGACAAGCTATAACACCGGTAACATACTCCAAGAATACTATGAAAGTACCACCTCGAAAATTGTGGCAGAAGGAGAATGTCAAACCGGAATGTCAAGATGATGATTGGCACAAGAATAAAAATTCGAAAAAAGATGAGAAATGGGATGCAATCCAATCACCGCAATTTGTCGATTTTTCAAATTTACCCGATATTGGAGATTCGTTTTTTAGTAAGTAATGAACGATATCTTTAAAGAATAGAAGTTTAAAAATTTTCAAAATTTTTCTATTTCGTTTTATTCAATTTTGATTAATAAAATTGATCGATTCTTTGATCATGTATAGATAGAGTAACTGTAGTTGTAAGTACACCAAATCCAAATCTTGCAAACGAAAAACTTCCGAATATAGTTACAGAAGACGATTCATTGATCACGTAAGAATTACAACTGTGAATTTCCAAACATAATATATTTTTTTATCTTCTTTTTCTATCCAATAATAAGAAAAACGATATCATTTAATTCTTTCGTAGATCTTTAAAAAATTTCTCTTTGTCTGAAACACAAAATGAAACAGTATACGAAAACCCATTATATGTTAATCAAAAGGAGAAAGAAAAAGAAGAATACGTAGTACATGATGTTAGCATTAACCAAGTATATGAAAACCCATTATATGTCAATCAACAAGAGAAAGAAAAAGAAGAAAAAGAAGAATACGTAGTACATAATGTTAGCATTAAACAGGTGTGTAATGTTGATAATGTATAAATAATATTATTTAAATTGATTAAATTGAGATTAACATTTTAGGAATCTAACGTTAAAACTGAGATTTGTAATAAAGTACAAAAATCGCAGAATGTTAAGATACATCCATTTTCTTTTGATTTACGATCAAAAAATATGCAGAAACAAAAAGAAGAACAAAAACAAAAACACATTAAAAAGGTATACAAATTTTTGTTATAAATATATTAAGATATTAAAAAATTGTGATTTTTTTCATTACTTTTAGATATCGGAAGAAGAGAAAAAAATAAAAATATTTCATGCAAATCCCATTCCAAAGTTTATAAAAAATCGAATTAAAATTGAACCAATAAGTAACAACAAAAACGAAAAAAATCAAAAAGTTAATGTTCTCAATAAGCAAATTAAAAAGAATACCGAGGTATATAATTAAACAAATTTTATTTGAAATCAATTATATGTATGTTTTAATTAATTATTAATTTTAATACTTATTATATAATATTATTAATTAATTCATATATTATACATTATATAAATAATAAATATATTTTTATTAAATAATTTAATGAAATATTTTTAATTTTATTAAATAATCTAGCTTTGGAAAAAACCGCCGTTTACACCATGTTTATCAAAGAAGAAGTTAGAACCACCAAAAATAGGACCTTTACACTCAGAAATTCGAGCAATAGAAAGAAAACGCTTTGATGAGATTATAAAAGAAAAACAAAGACAAAAAGACTTACAGAAACAAATGGTAAAGTGTTCTATAATATTATTATTCGTTAATAATATATTCTATTTTCAAGATTATAATGCATATAATAATAAAATGGAAATAATAGGAAATTGCTGCTAAAAAGAAACAAGAGGAAGAAGAAATCGCACAGCTACGAAAACAAATTGTTCATAAAGCTCAACCGATTCGAAGATATAAAATAGAATTACCTAAAGTCGAAAAACGACCATTAACTGATCCTATAAGTCCAATATTATTGAAACGTCGTCGTCGTGTATAAATACTTAAAATATAATTAAGAAGCATTATACTTTAGTAATCGAATCTTTTAAATCAATGTTTTTTTTTTCACGCCCTGTTTCGCAGGTAGATACATTTATAAAGTAACTTAAATTAATAAATATATTAAATTAAATTTAAATTTTCAGTTTAATCATATTAATATGTATGTTTTAATATATTTACACATATAGATACACATCCATATACTTTTTGATTCTCTATAAATTTTGTCAATAAAGGCAATTTCATCGAAATATATTTTTAATCTTTGAAAGTAACGTTTTATAAAACAATAATTTTTCAAAATATATTCGTATCTGTAGATACTAAATGATCGTTATTTAAAATAGTTTACTAAATATTTTTATCGAGAATATGTGATTATTGTGAAAGTTAGTCATTTTTTATAGTATTCTCACATATTTAACATAGTTTATGCTGAATAATATTTGTTTTAACAAAGATGCGCATTAACATGAAATATATAACATACATTACTATAATATATTATAACACACATACACACACACACACACACACACACACACACACACACACACACACACACAGATATATTAAAGATTGCCAATGCATTCTAGATTATATTAATATTCTTAATATATGATAGTTATAAATATTTAAATAATTGATAAACACATATTACAGTAATTATAAAAATGGATTTTCTTTAACAGCATAAATATATAACTTTTTCAAAGCATGATATAGTATTACATAAATTGTTGATTTGTACCTTTTTCTTTTTATAACGAAATGTGTGTAAAAAATAAGTTTTTATTTGTTGTATTATGTACAATAATATTTAATATTTCAAACTTGATAAAAATAAAAACTTGATATAATGTTCATACATATAAAAACTATCTTAAATATCAGAAATTAATGAATAATGAACATTTATTTAAATAAAACTAAAACTTTTTAAATAAAATATTTAAAAAACAATTAAAATTTTAAGAAAAAAAAATTATTTTAAACTTTCTTTGCATATTCAATATCATCTATGAAAATTATATAAATTTGTCAGTCTTTTTTTTATAACTAGTTTATAAATATAAATAATTTTGAAATAAAATCATGTATAATAACACATTCCGTTATTTTTTCTTAAATTTAATTGCAAACATACACACATACATCTTTCTATAAAGTTGAAAGCATTATTTAATAAAACAACTAATTCAATATTCTCTTATTTCTAAATATATAACAAATTCATTCACTCTATTAAATTTATTATAATATTTCATTTAGAAATTAAACAGTCTCTGTATGTAATCTTTGAATTATCAATTTGATAAACTTATTCAAATAATATATTTAATTTTTCTTAATAATATATAATAAATATAAAGTTATATAATACAATTATTAATAAAGCATATTAAATTATATATATCAATTTATTTTAAATTAAATTAGAAATAATTAAATTTATTAATATTCGCATATAAAAAAATTTATATTTACATAAAACGAAATTACAAATATATTTTATACAAATTTTAATAAAAAAAAAAAATTAAAATGCATTCATAGATATGTAAATGCAAGTCTATAGTATAACATTTTATCAATATTATCAGTTACCTTAGATATATAAACATAAAATACAGTTTCAATTTATTAAAAATTGAGATTTAAAATAAATCATAAAATATAAAACAGCCTGCGATATATTTGGCATTTAAAGCCTGATTTATATCACAATGGATATAATATAATATATGCATATATTTGCGTAACTGATATAGGAAGCCCAATGAATTAATAATAGATATAAATAATTATCTTAAAACTATTTTGAACACAGCCAATGACACATTAGTGACACATGATCATAGATTATATGTGACATAAGTTACACATGAATAATAAATTCATTGTTAAAAATTTGAAAGAGTTTATGGAATATCATAATTAGAATTTTTTCTTTTTTTTTTAAATATATACCCATCTTATTATTTAACCTTTATCTTATTGAAGTAATGCTGATGATGGAGATGGAGGTAATGATGGTGATGGCGGTGGTCTAGTAAAAGTTTCTATTTCATTACAATGAAATTGACATACTGTACTAGATGTACTTAAAGTAGATTCTGACCACATTCCTCTTCCTTTAATCTTTCTTCTAGCTCTATTATTATCTGTACTTGAATCAGGCACATTTCCAGACTTGTTTTTACGAAGATAATTCCATAATAAATTTAATCTGTAATAATTTCAACATCCAATTAATGAAAAAAAAAAAAATTAAAATACTTACAATAATATATTTACCTAGGATATTGAAATTGAGCAAAATGAGATGATGGACCTATAACTGCTAATATTGGACACAAAAAAAATGTAGCATATATCCAACTTATTCCCATTACAAGTAATAAAAATATACCAATTTGAATATATGCTAATACACATGAAGGTAGCATGAGAGCACCAGCAGCACCAGTTGTAAGACAAGCCATTAAAGTTGGACCACCCATTTGTGTAAGAGCTGTTTTTACTCTATCCTCTCTCTCTTTAGAAGTACATGCTCTATAACTTACTACATAGTGTAAACTAAAATCTACAGTTAAACCTAAAAATAATATATATATTATATATGTATATATTAATAATTAATATTTAATATATAAATAAATAAATAAATAAATAAATATATTAAAATTATTAATTATATCAAAAAATACCTATTGCTGTAGATATTGTAATACTTTCTAAAACATTTAATTTCCACCCAAGAAGAATCAAACCAGCAATTGTTACTATAATTGCTGCACCAATTGTTATAATTGCATATAAACTGATAAGAGGATTAAATGTCACAAAAGCCAATACTATGAGAGCTAGAATCAATGAAACTCCCATTGCCCAAAGAGTACCTTCATACAATGTTCGTTGTAATTCATAAAATTCTAATCTACTAACAAACCAACCACCACGCATTCCTAATGGAGCATTTTTTAATTGATTTTGCATCCATGTTTCAACCTACAAAATATTATTTTAGATTTCATTAATTATATTATAATTATTTACAACACAACAAAAAATACAATGTATTTCATATATATATGCACATATATATACACACATATATACACACATACATACCTGATGAAAAAATTGATCCATATTTGAAAAAGAAAGACTGTAATTATATATGCTATCATATTCAACAATTAAAGCTTTAATTTTAAGTGTTGGCATTATTATTGAATTTGTTTCATTTGATATTTGTAATTGTGTTGAATTCGGTTCTCTTAAAAATTTTAAACCAGCAAAAACACCATTGCGAACCCATAAATATGAAGGAGTACGATATAATCCTGCATTAGCTTCAGCTGCACATCGTTGTAAAGTGGTTGAATTATATGGAAATTTACTTTCTTCACAACATGGCATATAATTAATATGTGGATCAATGGGGTCTTCACAACGTCTTTGCATCCATTTACGTAATGATTCAATAAAACAATTAGGAAGTAAAGGTCCTAATGTATTACGATAAAAAGGTTGTGCTCGTAAATCATGGCAAAATTTTTCAAGCCATAATTGTGATTCTGGATGAGATACATCAAAAGATTCATCCCATTCTGGTGTACCAATTAAACCAGGATCTAAATAATTACCGTTATCGATTGGTTTAACGCCCCATACAAATCTTAGTGGCAACATATCTCCATTATCAATCTGTAATTGTTAATTATTTTAAAATCTTTCAAAAAGACATATCTTAAGAAATATTATATTTTTTTTACATACTGTTTCATGTTTCTCAAACCAAAATTTTCGAGCATATATCAAGTCATATTTTTCAAATGGATGAGAACTATCAAATAATTGGAAATCAGCAGTATCTGGCAATTGTAAACCAGGATATTGAAAAACAATAATACAACATATTATTGCTACAATACCCAAACTGAATAACCAGCACCATCGAAAATTAATAACTATCTTTATAAGAAAAGAATTAAAACCTATCGTTATTTTATCTCCAAATAATCGTAAAGGTCTAACAATTTTTCGTGTTATAAAATTCGCGGGAGATAAAATACCAAGTTTAAATCGTTCTGATACTACGACACATGCTGGTAACCAAGTAATCATTAAAAAAAAGTTTGCAATAACAGTCATTCCTGAAAATAAACTAAAGATTTGTATTAGTAATATTCAAATTTATTTATTTTTCTTTAAATATTTTAATATTAGTCAAATAGTTATTTTTAAATATATATACCTGAAGCAATTTATAGCAGTAACATTACTAACAACTGATGCAAAAAATGCTACTGCAGTAGTTAAAGATGTAACAAACATAGATGGAACAGCATGTTTCATTGTTTCTTGTACCAGTCTGACCAATCCATTATTTGATATTTTTTGTTCTTTACCTCTTTCCCAAATTTTGCAATATATAAATGCATCATCTGCACCTATTCCTTAAAAAAAATAAAATTGCATGTTAAATGATTTGATTTTTTAAAATTGAAAATTTAATTATCATATATACTTTCTTACCTACAGCAACAACAATTGCCAAGAGATTCATAAATGGAAAGAATTTGATATGCAAAAATAAAGTATAAAATGCATATGAAATGCCAAGACTAAAAATTACTGCAATAATGGTTGTGATAGTTAATAAAAAAGAACCAGTATATGCCCATATACAAATTGTTACAAAGGTAAAACCAGTAAGTAATAAAATAGAATCTGACACTAACAGTCGATCAAACAATATACTTTTTAAACCCAAATGCATTCCCTTTACACAAAATTTTCCATAAGATAAATCAACATCATTTAATCCTTTATAAAAATCTAAAGTAGCTGAGCTTGCAGCAATTGGTAAAAATAACATTGCATATTTTAATGTCGAATTTAACTTATTTTGAGGATCTTGCTCCTGAAAAAAATATAAATAATTATTCTTGATATTCATAATAAATTATATTGTACAGAATATACAGAAATATATAGAAATTAATTCTCTTACTCGATCCAAAATAAAATCAGTATCCAATAAGTAATGCAACAAATGATATGCTGCATTATGCATATAGCATTCAATTGGAACATGTTTTTGACAATTTAAATCTTCTGCACAATTTGATGTTAAACGACGATTTTGATAATAATAAATACATCTTTTTAAAAGAGTTTCAACACGACTGAGATCATTTTCTGTTACACCCAAACAAGAACTTCGATTAGATAGAAGTGCAACATAATTTGCTGGAGACCAACTTCTACAACATTTTTGCCTTGAATTGTTATATTCTATTGACATTTGACATAAAGAAGAAAAATGTGAATTTGATCTAAGCTCTGTATCAATATAACATTGTGCTAATACACCTTCCATTGACCATAAATTTGAATCTTTAGAGTTTCTGCCAATAACAACACGTGCATAAGCAGAAGATGGCAAATTACAAAAAAAATTTTCATTATCAATATAATCTTGACTTTTATAATCCTTTGTCATATCTAATTTATTTTTGTTTTTTAACTCTATTAATTCTTCCCATTTATCTTTAATTTCAATTTTATCTATTTCTTCTTTATTAATTTGTTTTTGATATTTCTTTCCTCCTTTTTTCTTATTTTTAGGTTTTTTTTCAATCCAACTATAATTTTGTATAATAGAATTCTGTAAATTCTAAAATATATTAGATTATAATATTAGATTATTAATAATCGATATTGATAATCTGATACTTATAATAAAATTATTATTATAAATTAAGTATATAAATTAATATTATAATATTACAATATTAATAATTTTTAATAAAAATACCTGTTGATTTAATTGTTGCACATAATGATAATATTCTAAAGGATTATCAACTAATTGTCCTCTTGGTTTATTTGATTCTAATAAATTTTGCCAAGCAATAAGTCTTTGTGCTAATATTGTACCTCTTGCTTCAAATCCCTTTAACATTATAAAAAAATATAAATTAGAGAAAATATTATTATTAATATTAATAAATATTATAGAGTAACTATAAAGAAAATATTATTTTATATATATTATTTTTATATTTTAATTATATATACTTACTAACTGAGGATCTGAGAAGTCTGGAAATTTTTTAATAGCTAAGGGAACAATTAAACATGTTGAAGAAAAAATAAGTATTATCATTAGAATGGTATAAGGATGATGAGCTATTACTCGAGAAAACCACCACATTTCCATTTTGAAAATTATATTATAATTTAAGTCATATTTAATATAAAAAACTAAAGCACAATATTATCTTAATTTGTACTTAAATCACACGATATCATAGCTTTATTTTTTTAAACAACTTTTAAATTGGAAAAATCAATCACAATAAACATTAAATTTAGCATAGTAATTAGCAAAAATAAGTTTTTAATGCGTATTTTTAAATACAAATCGCTGAATAAAATAAGTAGTACATATAAATAATTTTTATTAATAAAACTTTATAAATATTTATACACTTTTTTTATTAATATCTTCATTATATTTGTAATATTTTTGCATAATTATTTTATCTATTATATTAAAAGTTATACTACAAATATAAATTTCAAGAGAATAAAATTATAATCACTATTTATATATAAATATTTCAAAATGTATAAGTGAATGTAATTTTATATAAAACATTAAAATATGATAGTTCAATTTAAAAAGCAACATGGACTTCCCACTTAAAAGGATGGCACGTGTTTACATCACAGTAACAAATGGAATGATCCATGAACTTCAGTCTATGAAGAATGTATATATACATATTATATATTTCTATATATAAAATTTTTTAAGAAATAAAAAATAAGAAAGAAAAAAAAAAATTTTTTTTAATATTATATTTAAATAATAAAATTCCAATTTTTTAAGATTAAATTATTTAAGATTGATATAAGATAATAAAAAAACAATAAAATTTTGTATTTCTATATATGATATGTATTTGTATAAATAATATAAAATTTATTTAATTATAAAATATTTAAAAAATTTTATTATATATTTATGAATAATATTAAGTTATTTTTTTAGTTTGATAGTGTTTTTATATTTTTATTTTGGTATTTCTCGAAATTACACGTGATGATAGCTCATTCGTGTTTTGCCGAATTTAATGTTATAGACTACATGCAATGACAGATAATATATACATATATATACTCTTATAAATATCACACACGTGTCTTTTTCAATTATCAAAAAAATTGAATATTTTATTTTATAAATTAATTAAATATCATTTAACATGTTGATTAAATATAATGTAAGTATAAATTAAATTCTCTAATTTTATTTTTTTGGATATTATTTTTAATATAATTATCTATTAATGATATTTTTATTGTAGATGAAAATTTTAACAATATTTTCTCTTTTATTTATACATATTTTTGTCGAAACAAAAGAAATTGATAATAAGCTTTTAAAATGTTTAGGTAAGCAAAATCATAAGTGTTAATTAATTAATTAAATAATTAATATTAAATTATTATAAATTATAATTATTTATTTTAAGTATAACAAACTATTATAATAAATTAATATTTACAATATATAGTTTGTAGATCAACAATGAAAGAAATTGAAGGAGAATTAGCAAAAATTGATCCTGCAAGAGAAATTGAAATAGGTAATTACAGATTAGATGCACAAGGAAATATTATTCATAAAAAGGTAATAAGAGATAATTTTTTTTTTCTTTAATTTTATATTATAATCAAAACATGCTTCAAATAAATATTTAAATAATTTAAAGATTCCTCTTGCACAATCTGAAGTATATGTATCAGATATTTTGGATAATATTTGTGAAAAAATGTCAGACTATGTAAGAGCAACATATAAATCAAATGGTGAATTAACAATCTTAAATTTAATAAGTCCATCTGGTGCTATGAATCCTGAAATGAGTAAAGTTGATATTATTCAAGATGATGATTTAAATAAAAGTTTAAAATATTATGTAAGTATTTTGATTTTATTTAGAAATGTAATAAATGATTTAAAATATTATATAAATTAATATTTTTTATTTTTTATTTTAGTGTGAAGGAATAGTAGAAGAATTTGAAGACTCTATAATTTCATTATTTATTCATAAAAAAAATGATATTAATGAACAGTTATGCACAAATATTGCAAATTTATGCAATTCTACAAATATTAATCAGGATAATATTGAAAAAAATGACATAAATGAAGAAAATGATGAACTATAATAATTGTATAGGAAAAAATGATACATTTGTATCTGCATATATATATATATATATATTTTTGATATTCAAAAGATTAAAAATTAAATATATTATTTTAATCTAATAAAATGGATAATGTAATATGTTTAAGAAAGAAATAAAGTACAAAAAAATATTTAAATAAATATTAATAAATTTGAAATATAAGTTCATTTTTCTAAAAAAATAATTTAATTTTGTTTGATATTAAATTAAAAATAAATATAAACATATACACTGATATATAATAATATAAAATTATAATAAAGAAATATATTCATGTACATAATTAAATTAAATAAATATTACTATAACCTAATTTAATAAAAAAATGAATATAATTCATTAATAAAAAATGTAATATTTATTTAATAATTTCAAAAAATTATTATTATTTTGTTTTGATAACTTATTACTAGAGAGCGCTCTAATCGATAAAGGATACAGTTATAATATATATAGTTGGTGTTTCTAAGGAATCATTCTATGATCTACGGTCTTTATTCCCAGGTTTCTGTGCGCGCTTGTTTCGTCTTCGTTCGCCGCCATCATTACGAAGACGAAAGAGGTTGGTTTTATTCATTTTCGCGTGGCCGTGTCATTACTCGAAAATCAGCACAAATGAAGATGGTTGATAAAATAGACATGAGTCTTGATGATATTATCAAGCAAAATAAAGGAAGTAGACCACGTGGCGGCACTGGCAGACGGGGAAGAGGTGCCGGTAATTCACCTCGTAGAGGAGCACGCAGAACGCAAAGAGTTGGTGGCGTCATGCGGGGACGCAATCGTGGTGGCATTACAAGAAATTCTCTTCCATACACAAGGGTAAGAAATTATTTCTTTTTCTTGTTGCTATTTACATTATATTTACTTTGTCACGTGTATCATATATCAAAAACTATCATATTATTTTTATCTTATGTACGAAATAGTTTAATCTGTAGATAGATTAACGATCATATTTTAAAATCAAACAATATTTTATGAAATAAGAATATGATTGATATAATTTTTGTTCTATTATATTGATACTTTATTTATTGTAAGAGATTATTCAGTTTAAATTCTTGAAAAAATTATTGAACTATGCGTTTTTATAATAGAATCGTTTAATGATTTTAAGGACGTTCATGTGTATTACTTTTTCATACATTTGATTGTTTATCTTTTTGAATATTAATATAAAAACATAGAATATTTTAACTTACTAGATCAAAAATAATGCAAAATTTTTAATAAATAGTATGTAAAATATTTTTTGTTAATTTAAATTTTAGTTTATCAAAATGCACATGAAACTAATATTGTGTATTTGAATATTTATATTATAAGAAATATATCTTTTTATATAATCTCATTTATAGGGTGATGTAAACAGTGCATGGAAACACGACATGTTTGATGGAGTAAAAAAGGTTGGCCGAAGTGCAATAGGTAGCGCAGGAACAACCAAGCTTCTTGTATCAAATCTTGACTTTGGAGTATCAGATTCAGATATTCAGGTATCTTATATAAAATTGTTAAATTTTTTTTATTAATATATTATCTCAATATTAATTAAATTAATATAAATATAAATATATTAAATTAATATAAATATAAATTTCAATTTAAAGTTTACAAGAAATATAAATTTTGTATTTTTAAAAATTTAAATTTTAAAAAAAAATGAAATTAAAATTTCATTGTATAATTTAATTTAGTAATTAAATATTGTATAATTATTTAATATTATTTATGTAATATATATTTTAATTATTAAATATAATATAAATATTTTTATAATAATGTTGTATATTTGTGTGTTTCTTTAGGAATTATTTAGTGAATTTGGCCCCTTAAAGTCAGCAGCAGTGCATTACGATAGGTCAGGTCGATCATTAGGCTCTGCAGATGTTATATTTGAAAGAAGAGCAGATGCTATTAAAGCAATGAAACAATATAATGGCGTACCCTTAGATGGTGTGTAGTTAAATTTATGTCTGGACTATAAGTTTTGCTTTGAATGTCTCTTTTTAATTATGAAATTCCGCCTATATTTAGGGTTTCAGTATCACTTATTAATCTGGTCTCCAGTTTATACCTAGCAACATACAGTTTGAGCATTTTCTCTTTTATCCTTCCATAAATACTCCAACATGGGATGACATTAAAGAAAAACAAATTTCAAAGAAGTTATTGTGAATTATGATTTGCACAACTATTCACATCTATTATTGCAATATGTGGTATACATCGGCAGGTCGTGAAATGAACATACAAGTTGCTACCTCTGAAATACCAGTCACATCTATCCGTGGAGGCCCGAGACTTAGCGGCAGTAATTATACACAGAGACCTCAGTCCCGCTTTAGGGGTAACCGTGGAGCAGGATCCATCAGAGGTATGTAGTTAATTTATATTAAAAAAGATAAATAATTTATCAAAAAATATTAATAGATTTTTTTCTTCTTTTTATAGGTCGTGGAACTGGCCGACGTGGTGGCAGAGGGGGCAGTCGACAAGCGACAAAAACTCCTACCGCCGAAGAATTAGATGCAGAACTGGAAGCTTATGTGAAAGAAGTAAAGTAACAACGTCACAAACCTTCACATTTTTAACATTTTGTTTTGATCTGACTTAACACGATACAATGTGTTTCCCTAATTTTCATGAGAATATATAAAAATAAGTATAACTATATCATTAGAAAAATGTTATAAAAAATTTCTCTTATAAATGGCTCTTTTATTTTTGACGGTTTCTTTGAAAATTGGCATACAATTTTTACAGACATTTAAGAAAAATGATTTGTAGGAGTTCATAGATTTTTTTATGATACCGTAACAAAAACAAAAAAAGATAATAAAAAGTTAATGATGTAAAGACTGTATGGATTTGTATGTACTATCGTGCGTGTGTGGTTATCAGATGAAAAATACAGTAAAATTCATCTTTAAAAGTTGTTGTTTATCAAACTACAGAAGTGCTTCTAGCCCTCAATCTAATTAGTTTTTATGAATAATTAATTATTAAATATTTAGAAACCCATCTTTGAACATAGTTTATACATTGAACACCTTATAACATGTGTATGTGTATTACTATGTTTAGTAGCATCAGATTTATGTAAATTTTAATGAATTGTTTTTTATTATGAATAATATAAAGTACCACTATGTGTAGCTAATAGCTTCTAGTGGAATAAGGCTGTGACATCGTTATCCTCTAGTCATCTACTAATAAAACATTTTACTGTGCAGTAATGGACTTGTAAGACAATGTACATGGTTTTATTCATGCAGCGTATGAATGGCAATGCAGTGGTACAAGACTGAAGCAAAGAAAGTTTGACAAGTTATTATCTAATAAAGAACAATGTTCTTGAGAATGAAATAATTTTTATTTCCCATCTAATCAAAGATTTATATTTTATCTTTCTTAAAGACAATTTTCATTTTAAATATATAAAATTATATTGACTATATTTAATATGCAAACTTGATAATTATGGATATTAAAAAAAAAACAAATTTTTTTTGAAGAACATTTTTTATTTAATTTAAATAGTCACACGAGGTATCATTTTGTACATATGTAAAAATATTCACTAATAGATACCATGAGTGGTATATGTTATTTTCCACTCTTGATTGTAAAGTAGATCACTACAAAGTTGTACTTGTTTGTATCTTAGGAAGTCATTTTTAATGCTTCTAGAATTATTAATTTTCTAAATACTTAATAATAAGATCAGTCGAGTTTAGATAATAAATTTTTACTATGCAATAATTGTGTACAATATGAGGCAACGTTACCACGCCAGTGTTTTAAATTATAAAAGATAGATAAATTATGTTGATTTTTTTTTTTATAATCTTTTAAGTGTTCTCTTCTTATCTTTTAATATTTTTTTCTTTTCTGCTGATAGTTTTTTATCTCCTGCATGCTTTTTAGGCAAAGGTCCTCCAACTTCAGAGGATGTACAACTTTCCAAACCTGCTTTGCTACCTTTTCCACCTCCCTAAATCATAAATTTGCTTTCTATTATCTATCATTGTGTATATAAAATTCAATTTGATACATATATTATTAATATATATATATAATACATACATATATATACATATACATATATATATATATATACCTGTGCATGTATTTCTGTCATCATTTTTGCTCGCTCTGAATAATCATCATACCTTTCTAAAAGTAATTTACCAGCTTCTTCATTTAAAGCAGATTCTGCATTTGGCACTATTAAGAGACATTTTACAGTCTGTAAATGAAGTAATTAGATGTGCTATTTATATTAATCAATTAATTAAATAATTTATATCAGTTATATTAATTACAATCAGATATTTTTATTTATAAATAGCTTACTAATAATATATGTTTAATTCCGAGATCTGATTTCCAATCCTTTTTTAAAGTATTGACACAAATTTCTCCATTTTTTGCAACATTTGGATGAAAAATTTTTGTAAGGAAAAATGCCTTTGGTGGTCCTTGAGGAAAGTCTTTTCCAAGAGCTAATTTTACTCTGAAGAAACCGCCAGCATATGGCGTTCCCGCTGGTATTAGAAGAATTTAAATTTTTAACTTATAAATATTATGATAAACATAAACCTTAATAGATGAAACAATAATTATATATGTATAGAAATTATGTAAATTAAATAATATTAAATAAAAACTTGTAACAACAATTAGGTAAAATATTAAAAATTATATCATAAGAAAAATATTATCTTTGTTGATATTGCATGTAAGTACAATTTTAATTAATTATGTAAATAATATTCTCTTTGATATAAATTAATAAAGACAAATTTTATGCCTGTATATGTATATGTACATACATAAATATAGACATTTATATATACATATAAAATCTGACATTTGAATAGGTTATAATTCAAAAATTATACAACTTCTTAATAGACAGTCCGTAATAATTAATTGAAATTTTATAAAAAGAATAATTGTGAAAGCTTTAATCTTACAGGGTCCTTCTATGATAGCTTGAATGTCAGTAACATCTTCTTCATTTAAGATTACACGAATACCCTCGGGTGGTTGTGCAGCTAATTCACTCATTTCTTTAGCTACACGTCGAATAATTTGTGGAGATAGATTTTCAACATTTGATATCTAAAAAAATAAATTAGATAGATAATTTATTACTAAATGATAAATATATTCAGAAAAATCTATTTCCTTAACCAGAACATAAACAAGAAGTACCGCTGTTAAAAGATTGCGAACTAAAATTAATATATATTATTAAGTACTTACAGAACTTACAGCAGCCATATTTAGCAAATTTTGAATAAAATTTCAACTAAACGCGTTTAAGACGCGATTGTTTAAGGTATACTGTTAGAAAATCTTTAACGTCACAACATCAGCACAGTATCGCCTACAATAACCAACATTTTGAACTGATAGCCAATCGCGTGCGAGTTACAATAATCTCGAAACTAGAAGTCGATTCTTCATCATTTCGTGTGTTTTCAAGCAAAAAGTATCCGGCATCTCGGACTTTTATTAAAGACACATCACATAATTAAATTAAAGAATAAGTAAATATTTGAATGAAATGGAATATAAATTTGGATATTGTGTTTGCATTGTACTGTAACTTGGACGTATTTTTAAATTCTTGTCTTGATATATTGCTTCTTCCGAGCGAATTTGAATATTTTATTTAATAGCTAGAATGGCTGATAGTGCAGCAATAGAAAGGGTACGATTTTTATATGTTTTTTTAAAATACAGAATATTTAAAATATAATTAATATATTTTACTTAACAATTAATTAAACAGGTTCTTACATATCAAATCATATAATCCTACTGGTAGAAAAATCAATGACAGTGACACTCATTTTTGTTCTGAAATAATATACTCTAATTGCAGGAAAAGCATATGAAACAATTAAAACGTAGAATGGAATGTTGGCGTGAAGTGATACTTCCATTAAATTCTATTTTATTATGGGAACGATCTTGGTATCCTGGTCTTATACTTGGAATTACAACCACAATATTTTTGTGAGTGAAAATATTAAAAATTTATATATTTTTTATTATAGATTATTATAAATTTTTATAAATTAAATTTATTATAAATTATTTATTTTATATATTATATATTTTATAATATTATAATACAATATTATAAAAAATATATTATTCATATTTATAATCTAGGTTTTTAAATTTTTTATTTTTCTTTTAGAAATTTTTAATATATTGTAATATATAAAATAATGATTAATATTAAAATAATGAAAATTAATATTAATTTTAAAATAAAATTTATATACTGTGGCAGTTAGTAATTATTTTTATATGTTATATGTAATATTTATTTTTTATAGTTTGATATGGATGTTGGAACCTGCAATACTTACAATAATATCTGTCTCTCTTCTTATATTGGCTTTGGTTGATTATCTTGTACCACCTGTATCATCTTTGCTAAGTCCTGTTAACAAATGGACTGGCCAGAAAGAGAAAAAATTAAATGAAATTTGCCAAAATTTATCTATCATAATTTTACAGTTACAAAGTCTATGGAAATTAATGTTAAAGACAAGAAATGATCGTCCTAATGTTGTAAGTTAAATTATGAATTTAATATTTAAATAATAAATATTAGGTAAAATATTTACAAAGAAAATATAAACTGTTATAAATTTGTCAAATTATTTTTATATGCTGCAGTATTATGCAGGAATAATAACTTGTCTCATTATTTGTATATGGATTGGAAGCACAATTAATAATTTGCTGTTGTTTTATATAACAGGTAATAGTTTTTTAAATAATTTATTTGATTATTTTTTATAAAATGAATATATAAATAATTTTCTTATTTTATTGGAATGTTACAGTGAATATTCTTTTACTTACACCAGGATTCAGATATAAAGGACGAGCAATGTCAGTTATATCATATGTGCGCGATTCTTTATCTCATGATAAACAATCATAATCATCATTTTGTATGTGTTTTTCTTCATTCTCTGTGAGACTTATCTACAATAAATTAATTCGTAATTTATTAATTCATAAATAGGGAAAACTAGCTTTTCAGCTTTTTAAAAGTACAATTATTGTTATATAAATTATGCTTTCATTTTCTTTCATCATTTTATGTAATATTTATTATTGCATGCACTTCATTTTATATGCATTTTTATACTCCAAATGTACTTAACATTATTCTTCATTCATTAATAACAAATTTCATCTTTCATCAGAATTCATTTTCATAAAAGAAGTAATTATGTAAGTAATATAGTTAACATGTTTATCTAAAGAAATTTAATTTAATATTGGCGTTAATTTTATTTTTTCATGATGATCATATTTAAAGTATTTGAAAATGGCGGGTTTGTCAAATCAAATATTCAATGGCGCTGATGACATAGAATATATTTTATGCATTTATTGTGTATAAACTTGGTCAATTTTGCTTGAAGTATGTTATGAGTATTATAAAACAAAGTTCGAAATTACGTTGCAATATCATAATTATGAATATAAAAGATTATGTCATTAGTCTTTAGATATTAGAGTTTAGAACTTTGCACATTAATTTGTTGGGTTAAGTTTCATATGTGTGTGTAATAATATTAATAATTTATATTTTAATTGTTTATATGTGCTTATAAATAAAAACGTTACAGTGCGGAACTTGTAAATCTCTTTTAAATAAAAAATTATATTCTTTAAGTATAATTTTACGCTATTTGAAAGTGCGTTATGGATATAATAATAAAATTAAATGAACAAACAATAGGCAGAGACAGAATTATTAGGTATACAATTTATTTATTTTTTAAATGTCTTTAAATATATAAGTTGTTTTTTATTGTCTTTCATTAACATAATATTAAATTTTTCTATTTTACATAACCTGTATTCTATTACTTAATATTATACTTCACGAATATTGTAATTTATTTTTCTTATTATGATGTACTCAAAAATATTTTTAATAAAATTTTATATAAAATTACATAATTAAATATTACATATTAATTTTTTTTTAATATATAAAAATATATATTAATTATATTTAAAATTAGAAATGTTTCTAATCATTTGTATAATTAACTAAATAAATACAAAATTAATATTGTATAATTATTTTTACAGATTATTACAATATGGAAGCAGAGCTTATTGGTATTATGCTCAGAAAAGTCATAGTACACAAAATTCTGCAGAAATTTTAAGAAGTTTAGAATATACATTTAGTTCTTTCAGAAAATGTATTTTATTTGTTTTAAATTATAATATTATAATATTAAATAATATTATTGATATTTATTATTTTAATATAATTGTTATTGTTATTAATATATTATTTTTATTTTTTTATAGTGTTACGCCTTGGAAGATGTTTGGACAGTTTATATTCTGCTTTAAAAATGATGAAATATCCAGAGGTAACCATAAGAGTCACTTTGACTCTATCAAAAATTGCCAATGCTCTGTTTTTATTAGCAGATCATATAATTTGGATTGGTCGTGTAGGATTACTTAGAGTTAATATAAAAAAATGGAGTAAAATAGCTAATAAGTATTGGTTAATGAATATTATTATGAATCTTACAAGAGATATTTATGAAATCATAAAAATTTTTGAAAATGAAGGAAAAGATGTATTAATGAGAACACCAAAATTCTCATCTAATTTATGGAGACAATATGAATTATTATATCATCTAAAGAATCATAAAAATATTGTAATAGATACAATTAAAAATGGCTGTGATATGTTTATTCCATTGACAGCATTAGGTTTTACGAAATTAAATCCTGGAACAATTGGCATACTTGGTATGATATCTTCAATTGTCAGTATTTATACATTAATTTATCCATTGTATAAGTTGACACCAGCTTAAAAATAATTTATATAATATATATATTTTTTATGTATATGATGCTTATATAATTACAAAATATTTTATATTATTAAATTAAAAAAATAATATATCATTAAAATTGAATTAATATTTTTATATGGACTTTTATATTTTTTTTATGCATTTTGGTATTTATACAATTATGTATTTTAATATATTATACAATATATTATACAATACTGTGATATTTAAATAACAATATTGTGATCTATTTTCTGTAAATTTTTTAAATAATGAAATAATGAAATAATGATTATTTTTTAAAAATATAAATATAGTATAATATATAATATTAAAAATTCAATTTTATTTTATAAGAAAGAAATAGAATAATATAGAGGATATATTTATATGTATATTTAACTTCATATCATAATTAGGAAAATATATTTATTTATTAATAAAACATTTTTTTTATATTATAACTACTTTTAATAAACTACTTCTTATAAAAGTTTTTGTATTTATTTATATAAAAAAATTTTAACCATTATTTTCTATTAATATGGGTACAGATCCTTCTCGAATAATTAATTCATACTTGTGAGTATAATACATTAACAAAATACCCCATTTTCCACAAATCATAGACCAAACAGCTGATATTACTGTACTTTCATCAATAGGTTTAATTGCTGTAAAAAATATAACAATTTTAATATTAGAAAAATATATTATTATTTATTATTATTTTTATTAAAAATTATTATTTATTTTTAATAATTATTTTATACTATTTGATTAGAAAATTTATAAAATAAAAATACATATGTAAAATAAGCAAATAAAGTTTTCATTTTAAGAAATTAAATAATATACTTACGTATTTTATAATAAAATGTAAGAAAGAGATACCAAATTAGTGCTGTAATTCCTGCCACTGCATTTATAAAACCAACAATATTTAGATTTCTTAATGTAATTTGAGAATGCCATCTTTCTAAACGTTCTTTTCCTTTAACCCAATGCAAATGAAAACAAACTGCAGCTAATATACCTATGTAATATATAAAAATGCAATTTTAATATTAAGTTTTTATTAAATTCAAATTAATTTAATAAAAACATTTTTTATTGTATAAATCGTATATATTTAGCATTGACAAAGAGTTTTTATAGTAATAATATTTACCACATATAATATGTTTAAAATGAACAAAATAGAAAATAATAATGTATTTATTAAAAAATATTAAAAAAAAAATTGCATAACTTTTAAGAAAACAAAGTTTTATAGGTAAAATATAATGGTCAAATAATGTACATAAAACGGATAATTTTTATTTGTTACAAGAAATAATACTTATTAATGTAATTATAAGTATTATTTATTTCTTATATTATAAAATTTTACCAATTTATAATTAATTTGTATTAATATGTATTATAAAATATTATTAGATAATTTATATAATAAAAGTTTATCATTTAAAATTAAAAAAATGCTAACCTGATAAGATCGACCAGAATCCAACGTCGACATTGTAATATACAATAAAAAATACGATAAATGCTGATATAGCAATAATTACGCCGATAAAACTTATGATTAAATGTATTAAAACATCTCGTAACATCTTTAGATTTTTATATTTACTGCGTAGTATATTTACAAATTAATTATGCCATGACACAAGGAAAATCAGTTTATTTGTGTAGATACCATATGGAACATATATAAAGACATACATACAATTATATATTAAAAATTATATTGTACATTACGATAATTTTAAAATAACGATGAATGAAATATACAAAAATATTATTTTGAAATTTAGTTATTTAATAATTGAATGTTTTAAAAAAATAAATAAATAAAATTGCTTCTGCCTTATTGCATAATTGTAACAATGAGAAATCATTTTTGAAATCTTAATCTAAAAAAAATTACATAATGCAAATTATACATATTATTTAATCTTTAGATTTTTAAATATTTTTATATTTATATTTTTACATGTAAAAAAGAATGCAAAAATATACATAAAATATATGTAGTAACGTTGTATGAATAATGCAAATGTTAAACACATATTTAAAATTATTTTTAGATTCTCATTTATGGAAATCGTAAGAAATATTTTTATTATATATTTAATTTACAATAATTTAATTATCGCTGATATTATATATATTAAATTATATGAATGTATACGAATAAGTATATATGAATAAATAAAAAAAATTAAATTATTTAATTTTCATTTGAACTCGTACAAAGTTTTTTATCATTTTTTGATTCTTCTATTTTTTTATTTCTTTTTTCATATTGTTCCATTATCACCGTTGCTCCCGTACGATTAAACGTGTATTGATACATCGAAAGATTTGCATGTAAAAATTGTGGTCTTATGTAACCAAGCACTAAATGCATTTATATAAAAAAATATTAAAGTTTATTATTTTTCATTAACTATTAAGTAAAATTTGAAATTTTTGAAAATTATATATAAAATATCTATCTTCCACTCACTTCTTTTTGCTGTTACTGGAGGTGCAAGGACTTTTTCCGTATGAGGTTTGAAATATAAATCATGAATATATGCCAATAATTCACTTTGCAAGTCTTTTTCCTCAATTCCTATTTCATCTCGAGAAATCCCTATACTTCATTAATTTTTTAGAAAGAAATTAGAATTAATTTTTTAAAGAAATTATTTGTTCTATTTTTTTTATGTAACATAGCTTACAAGGATTTTTATAGTTGATTTGATAAACAGATTGCAAATTATTGAGAATATGTTTATAAACCAATTGTTTAGCAGTTTCATCCAATTCTTTAGGAATCGATGCTATACGAGGATCGATTTCTCCTTCTTCTATACGATTCGTGAAATAATCTTCATGATATATTCTAAAAATATAAAATTCGGATATTAAAATTTCGTGATTTATAATGTCATTTATATATATATATTTTTTAATTTTATTACATTTTAGCTGGTTCTATTTTCTTTTTTCTATAACTACGATCATATTCCGTAGGAAAAAATTCACAAAAATTAGTCATTGTCTCAAATACTTTTTAATACGATTAAAAAGAAAAAAAATGAGATATATTTTAAACTAGTATATAATTTGACCAATTTATATTTAATTGATTATCATAAATAATTGATTAATCATAAATAAATAAATGACAGATAATCATATGTTTTTTTTATGTCGTATTTTTTTTATGTATACATATATTTTTCACATTTTAGAATATTCACTACATAGAAATTAAAAATACCTAACCTATTTTAGAAATTTAAAATATCTACCATATTTTGTGTGTTTTTGAATATGTGTAATATATGAAACAAGACTTTAATATTAATTTTTAGTTTATATATTTTTTTATTATAGAATTTACATTATACATTTCTAATAGATAGGAATACATGCATATCCCGTTTCAAATTTAACAGAAATAGAATAAAAATACGAGAATCATCACTGGTTTTCAGAGTGACATAAATGAAACTAATTTAGATAAAGAGAACATATAATAGAAAAGAATAAAAAATAGAAGAATTGACCGTTAACGCCATCTTACATATAACAAAGACACTTTTTCATAAATAGGATAAGATAGAATAAGAATTGAAGATCAGCGCCATCTCTCTAACACAAAAGACACTTTTTCAAAAGATAGGATAAAGTAGAGGTAAAGTAGAGTAGGAATCGAAGTTCAGCGCCATCTCTTGAGTGTTAAGAGAACTTTGAAGAAAAGTTTACGAAATACTCGAGAGATGGCGCCAGCAGTACGATTTTTACTCTATCTCTATCCTTTTCTTACTATCTTCTGTCCTTTTTTCGTGAGTTTCATTTGCGGCACTCTGAAGATGGCGCTGATTTCAATATTTTTACACTATCTCTGTCCTTCTCTCATCATTTACTCTCCTTGTCTATATTTACGCATTCAAATGGCTCTGTTATATGATATATGTTATATCTTTATTATTTTCTAATTTAACCTATTGATTAAAAATTTTAATAAAATTTATGTTTTATATATTTTGTTAATTTTTTATTTAATATCTATTTCATATATATATATATATATTTTATTATATATTTATATTTTTATGTGTCATAGAATATATTAAATGTAAATTTCTTTTCTATGCATATATCTACATATATTTAAATATATAAATTAGTTTTTCTATATTTGATGCTTTATATAATTATATATTATATATATATATATATATATAATTATATTTTATTTATATAGAATATATTTTTGTTTTTTTTTTTAATTTATATATAATATACGATATATATATTTTTTCTTTTTTTCTTCAGTTTCTGGAATATAACATCTTAAAAATATAATTAAGTGAAAATAAATAATAATGAATAATAAAAAAGTAAATAAATAAAACAGTATATTATTTTTAATAATTAGAATTAAATGAAAAAAATGGAAAAATGTTAAATATCAATTAATAACCATTTCTTGTTTGGATTTATTTTTTTCAATAGTTTTTTTAATTCTAAAGATACTCACTTTTGCATACTTACGTCTTATGATAAGGGTTACTATCTTCTAATCTTTTTTCAATAATTCTCTTAGTCCTTAGGATTCAGCGTCTAATATAATTTTGTATCTGGAATATCTCGTTTATTTTTCATAATATTAAAAAATTGCTTCAAGCAATCATTGAATAATTTCAACGAATCTACATTTTAATGCTATTATTTTTTTTCTAGGAGGACACGAGAAAAAAAGAACTTGTGGAACTTTTATTTCTTTAAATATTTTTTAAAGCATAAATCGATATTATCTCTATCATTTTTCTATAAAAAAAAAAAAAAAAAAATATCAGACATTTCAGAGATAATTAAATATCTCCTAAACTAATTATTTTATCTATGAATTGAATTAGCAGATTTTTTTATATAAAATTTAACGTAATGCATCAAATTCTTCGTCAAATCATTTCTTATGCATTAAAAAAAAAAAAAAGTATGGATTAAAAAAGATTAGGATATTAGGAGAATATATTTCGGACAAAAGATGATATACGAAATTTTTTCAATCGAATCAATCGCAAAATATTTATATAGTTAATTCTGTAAATGGACAGTTTCGACATTTGTATAAGAGAGACATTTTTTTCTTCATAATGAAATAACTTTATAATTTGCAATCTCCTAATCTTCTTCTCGACGAAGGTTGCGGTTCTGCATATTGTTGTTGATTTTTCATGTTGCTTAGACCCATTTTACTAAATGTATCCATATATTCCGAACGACCGGTGAAAGGTGTGTCCCATACAGAGAATAATTCCGGAACTAATAAATACATTTTCACCTTATTTTTCACATGGATGAGGATACATAAAAGAAAACGAAAGTATGTTCGAAAGTATATCTGATACCTTGGCAAAAAGTGATCGTTTTGGCTGGCTGGATATGTGGTCTCTCGATGGCTGTATATCGAAATCTCGTTGGATCTCTGTAACCCTCTTTTATCTCGGTAATTTCCTCCGGAAACGGTGAACAGTAAGCCGAATCGACCGCAGCTTTCAGCTGTCTGTACTCTTTAATGGGCAATCCTGAAATTCAATTCATTTCATCGAATTGAATTATCTGAACTGAACTCGTATCCCTTCATACGATCATCCTTACCCCTTTTCGCGTAATCTGTTTTATAAACACTCTTCATCGTCTCATCTATCGAATTGCAGGTATAGTCTAGCATAGCTGACGTGAGATTAACCATTTCACGATTCACTTTTTGCAATTGATCCAAAAAGAGTCGTTCCTTGTCGGCAAGGTATTTGTATCTGATGATATGATGATAATGATGATGATCAATTTTTTTTTTTTTTTTTAAGATTAACTTTTCTTCGTGTAACAACAAGAGTATCGAGATGTGTATATCGATTTTTTTTCTTTTCTTTCTATATAAATTATGAGATTGTTCTTTGAACATCGTACTGTATCTCTACCTGCTTTTGTCGATTTTCTGCCCATGTTCGTCGCAAGCACAGTCTTCAGGGTCGATTCTAGGCATATATAATCGAATTCCCGTGTTCATCGGCGGTTGGGCCGGTTTTACAACAAGGGGTACCGGATACGGCCAATTAAAATCCTGATGGGTGGTGGTGATGAAATTTTCCAATGCGCTGGTCATCGTGTAACCGGTAATTTTGCCACGAGTCGGAGAAAATAACCAGAATTTACATAGGCCTCTGTCGGGAGAAAATTTGTTCGAATGTGTACAATACGCAATTACATTTTACATTTTTTTTAAAAAGAAATTAAGAGGAAACTAAGGAAAAAAGAGATAACAAAATTTCCTCTCTTCTCTCTCTTCTCGAAATTAATATTCTTTCTTATTTAAGAAAAAAAAAAAAAAAAAAAAAGACAGGAAAAAAATATTCGCAATAAGAGTTAACCTCTCGCGAGAATTGAATTATTTTTAAATTATCATCGGAGAAATTTGAAATTTTTGATCTCGATTCAAATTCTTACCAAAAATTTATCCTCGAAATATAAACGTTAAACGTTACATGACATCGGGGATCGAGCCGATTCGTTGGTGGTGGTCGCACTACGAAATTTCACTACCTTCCGGAACAACCAAAATATCGTCTCTTTGATCAGCATGATCGTGGCTGCGACAGCTCTATAAAGCGCATAGTGGAGTATAGCGTTTAAAAACGTGATACCTATGTGTGCGATTACGGAATCGGTAGTTAGCCTTAAATCGTTCATCCTGCAATTTAGAGAATTATTTTTGACCTTTGATCATCGAATAAATTGCCCGGTTAACTGAAATTTATCGAAACTGATTCCATGATTCTAACGCTCTGATGTTTAACGCAAATGGTTGTTCAATGGTTTTGTTGAATTCGTTTATTGATACTCTTAGATAATTTCATATCGTTTAAAGAACATTATTATACATATATATGTATGTATATATATATATATATATATATATATACAAGCACTTTGTATGATTTAAAAAAAAAAAAAAAAAAAAGGAAATAAATTTTCGTTTCTAATAAGAAGTAGCCGAAGTGTCGCTGAATTTTCGTTGGGGAGATACTCTCGATACGTGCTCGATAATCTCTGATTCCGGCTCCTCCACCTTTTTCTCGTTCTCCACCTCGAATTCTTGATCACCGGCGGGAGGAATTTTCGGATGAGATCGGGGATTCAATCGTTTCTTCGATTTCATGCGATATCTATCCTTCGCTTGTTCCAACGAGGGAAACAGGTGCTCCTGCGGATTCAACGAGATCAACTTGAGAAGCTTCTCCTCCTGGGATAGAGTGCAATTCCTCCTTTGGACGCGGCCCTTCGTCGTCGTGAAAATTGGCCTCGTCGTCTCCTGGATACAGCCGCAATCCAACCGCGTGATCGTCGTCATTGTGCCGCACGGTTCCAGATTCTGATCAATTTGGAAAAATGAATTTCGTTTCTTCCAGTTTTTAATTGTTAAGAAATTCTCTTCGCCCGAACGAAGATCGTTGGAAGGAAAGCCTGATAAGTTATTCACCGAAAACTTGCCAAGCTTTTTTCTTTAATATTTATCGGAAACGAACGACTGACAAAGATATGGAATCGATTGAATACTTTATCGCGAAATGTTTTTAATATACATATTATATATTAGATACGTGTTTCAGTCGATCTGCCGAAGACGGATGGAAGCTGGAACTTTGCAATCTTCCGGCGGATCTAACGGACGGGGATGTAATTTTCGGGCCGAAATAATATTCCCCTATCAATCGTTTGATCTCTTGGGTGTAGTATCTCTCGCTTATGTCCCGTTTCATCTGCAGCTCCTTCAGCTTTTGCAATTTTTGCATCGCGCTCAGCGCCTCTGGCATCCGATACTCCGAGTAATCGTTGAATCGTTGATATTTCTCGTGAAGAGCGGTATTATGTTTCGGCAAGGGTTTGGCGTAAGTCGTTTCTTCTGGATAACGATGAAACTGTACGTTCGGAATATATTAAATGATTTTTTTTTTAAATAAATCACAAGTATACGTTATATCATCGTATTCGAAGATTATGTGTGATGTAAGTTCGTAAATTTTGTAATTTCTGATAATTATTATTCGTAGCTATGATCGAATAGTATATAATTTTAAATAGCTTCCGATATCATAGAATCCAAAGATATTCTTATAAGGCAAGGAATTGAGGATATCTTTCTAGAGAAACAAATACAAAAGTTAGTGCAACGAAAATGTTAATCGAGGCTTATTCGTTATACATGGATTTTTGTGTTAAAATCAAATTTTTAATGAACGTGTCTGAAGAAACAGACGCTTTCTTCTTTGTCATTTGAACTTTGAATATTTTGTATTATATACCAGTCTAATATCAATTTAGTTACGATTTAAGTTCACGTTTAATTTCGATTAATTATATATTACGACGAACGAAGCCTCGATCGAAATTTCTTACAACTTTCGTATTCGTTCTCGTCTCGAAAAGTTGTCCAACGAATATTACCTCTCTACGTTGTATATTTGAAAACAAAGAGAAGAGAAAAACCACTTGCGCTTCTAAAAATTATCACTTTTGGCACTTACTTCCCTACATCACAATTCGACTCGCACACACACGCGCGCACACGTTTAAGTAACGATGCTAAAATAAACGATGTTTATTCATACGTTATTCTTATTAGTGGCAGTTTCCTCCAACTCGGTGACAGTCTCGACGGAAGATCTCTCTTCAGGAAATTGGATATCGCGCTCGTTGGTATACTCCTGCTCGTAGTTATTCGTACTCTTAGCGTAACGTACCGAATTGGGATACATTTCTTTATTCCAATTATTCTCCGTCAGAGTTGCCGTGTGAGACGATTTTTCTCGACGATCGTCCATCGGTCTTCGATTCCACCTTTAAATTTTACGGAACTGATGATAGAAGTGCGTTTCGTATATGTAATTCGTATAAACGAAAAAAAGGTGAACGAATCGGATTGGATTTAAATCTTGTTGCGTTTTCTTTTTTTTTTTAGGTTATCATGACAGGGACTTACTCGTCGGTTAATTTGCCACGGGTATGATTTGGAGACAAGGTTGTCATTATAGATTTCAATCCGTGGAACGCATCGTCGATAGAAATTTTATAATATTTTATGCATTTTTACGCAGAATTTGAATCGCGCTATATATCCCTCTAAATCTTACGTAATTTCTCTATCTTCCATGCTGCGAATTATATATTTATTGCTTATCGGGCAACTTCAAGCTTCTTCAAACTATTTTCAAATATATGTATATTTCGAACCGATAACTTCAATAACGTTTCTTTACGATAATTACTATTTTGAATGGAAATTTAACGAAGCTTCAAGTTCGTAGGTATTTTTTTTTAAATTTTATTTCCTCGCAATTTGGGAAAGAAAAAAATAAATGATACATAAATTATTTGAATGAACGTGGTGATTTATTAGTCGTGATACAATTAATTTAATTTTTATAAGACGGCCATCGCCCACGTCGGTCCAACCGAACTTTTGCCGTGAATTTTGTGTTTCATAATCATTTGGCCTAATCTGTTGATCGTCTCTTGATATTCCGACCGCCAGGGAGGTAATCGCGTTTCCTGTTCATCCTCGATCGCTTTCTTCGGTTTCTTCTTCTTTTTTTCTACCTCATTTTTCACCTTGATCTTGGGTCGTCGAGCGTACGGTCGACAATCTATGTCCTTCTCTTCCTCCTTGGGTACCTTGCACGGCCCTACTGCCGCTTCTTCCATCATTCTAGCCGCTGCAATGTTTAACACGATATATTAAAACATTAATTTTTTTCGACAGCATAGATCTACTTTAATAAATAATACGTTAATTCATTAATTTCAAGAATATGTATACACTGGAAAAGATATCTTAAAAGATATATCGTTATATTTTTGAAATAAAAATTTCATAAAAATGCAAAGAAAATTGTATTCTCGTTTCAGATTTTTTTCTATCTTATTAAGAAAAAAAAAAAAAAGATCAAATCTCGATTATTTTTCAGAAAATTAATATTATTTTACCTCTCTCGGAATAATCTAACTGATAAGTGGTCTTTAACCGATCTTGATCGACTCGCCTGATCACTTCGTCTATGGGCGTTGTCTGCAGAATTCCATACAGATTAGGATATTTTTCCTCTAACTGAAACGATCGTTTCAATTTCAACGTAGCAATTGCAACAACATTTTACTTTTTTACTTTTCCGCTTTTTTTTTTTTTCTTTACCTTTCTCATGAACACGGCCGGCTGGTCGAATTTCGTGATATCGGTTTCCGGTTGCGGCCCAGTCTTTGCGGGGAACAGCTTCGGATCGAGAAGCCGTCCCATGGGACCCGTGCGGCTCCAATCGTAATCATCGCCGCAATAAGTGAGGGGTTTTATCTCACGGGGAATATCTCGGCATTTGCAGGCACCGTATTCATCCAACTCGGTCGGTTTCCGTTTAATCCTCGTCGCGGGCCACGGGTAATCCTTTTTGTACGTTGTAAGATATTGGTCCATCTTTTTTTTTTTTTTTTTTTATCTTTTCGCGCAGGTTTTTATTTATTGATATCGTGTTTGCAGATTTATCTTTCGTTTTTTATCTTTTTCCTCGTTCTAACGAAATTTCGACGAGAAGTATATATTTTTATCATTCAGCGATTCATCCATTGCTAAATGATTAAACTGGTATCGTTCTTCTCTCTTCTTCGCTACTTCTTCGAATCATTTTCTATCCACGATTTGAACGTTTTCCTTCTGGTGTAATAATCTGATTTTTTATCGATCCATTTTCTATATTGAATAATAATTTCATACTAGAATTTATCTCGAAGAATTGTGAGAACGTTGAACGATCCAATTTATATTTCCACGTTTCATCAATCACATTTTCAAAGTTTCTTTTTTGGAATTTTTATTTTAATATCTATTGTATTTTATTTCTTTTATATATTTTTCGTTTTACATACTACTTCTTTTACGTGTCTATTTCATTTTAAAGGAATTGTTGACTGATCGAAGGTTTGCAGGAAGCAAACCTTGAAAAGAATTTTGGTTAAACTTGGAATTAGGAATTGTGACGGTGTCTGGCATAACTTTGACGACGTTCACACGTTTTCATTGTCTCGTCGTAATTTATCGATAATTTCGAGTTCGATAATTTCAGTTTGGTTTCGGAGATGATTTCGAAACAAACGGCCATGTTGGGTGTCGTATAACTCCCCCCCTCTCTGAAAGGAACAATAAAATCGTGATGCGTATGATCATAATTTGGAAACGTCCGTTGTGCAAATAAACTTGGCCCAATAAATAATCGTGGACCGATACTGTTCACTCGTTACGTACGAACAAAGGTGGCACGCAAGATGGCACCGCCCGTATATGATTATTGTGTTTGGCCTGGCTCCATTTTCAATAGAAGTTATTATTATTATTATTTTCCAGAGAAACACGTTTTTTTAAAAAACTGGCAAAAATCAAATATCGAATTAAGAAAGAAAGGAAGGAAGAAACATTACGAATTACGAATATATTATCTTCTTTTTGGTATATCGTTTCAACGAGATACAGATTTTCATTCTAACTTTCATTTTTGCTGATCTTTTTTTTACGAGATTCCATTTCTTGCGCGCCATCGATCTTCTTCTCGCTCCTGTCCTTTTCTCCCCCCTTCTTTTCCACGATTATTGGCCCGATTCCAACACCAACAGATAGTTCGACGAGGAGGCTAGACTGCAATCGACAGTACAAGACGTGTTAGCTTTATTTCAAGATACGAAAGTTCGGCCACTCCGCTTCCGGAATCCTCGCTGTCTCTTCGTGCCACGAGACACGAGGGTATTCCATTCGAATCTCACCAGGCCGCCTTAAGCTTTCCTCCGATCGAAGGAAACCTTCTCCTATAAATTATCGCAACGAATTTCCCGCGAATCGATATTAAAGGTTGAACTTCAGTTTCTTTCTTCAGTACGATCGAAATAGAAATCTTGTTTCACTATTATTTTGTAATTTTTCTACGAATTATCTAAGGAAATTTAATTTATTCTGAACTTGAAATACAATTAAATTTCATCGGGTCAAAAAATTAATTTTCTTCAGGGAATCATTTGTGTTCGACATTTGTGTGTGAGATTAGAATAAGAAATTTAATATAATTTGTTAAAAAATCATTAAAATCATTACCATCTTTTCATCTTTTATCAAACAAATAATTTAAGAAGTTTTGATCAAGCTTAGGATAAGATAAGGAAAATTGATGAAACAATTAAATGAACGAACAATAAAAGAAAAATATCATAAGTAAAAAAGCTACTGACAAATCTATTCAAAATCAATTTTACTTGAGAAATTCATGAGAGGAGAGATGGAAACACAAATTTCGATGACGTTACGGGATGTCGAACGCCACGAGGACGTAGGGAATAATCGGTGGAAATGGATCATCTTCGGCGGTGTCTTCGTTTGTTCTTTGACCAGGCCGTGGTATCGTCCCGTAGGAAGGAAAGCTCGGAAACGGACTGTACTGATCGTTGCTCTAAAGATATCGCTGCGTCCACGCTGCCAGGAATAGAAACGTGACGTGGTTGTTCGTCGACGAGCGAATACTAACTCTTCGGTTCGTCGTACACCGACAATCAGCCAATGGGATACGAGTTCGAGGCCACCGATTTCTAACGATATACCACCCCGTGGCTCTGATTTTATCCCAGACAAACTTCCTCCTTCTCCACCATGATCCGAGATTTATACGAAATCTTCTTAAAGTTGATCGTTAATTATCTCATCCATTTCGAGGCGTGTGATTTTTGAAATTTACAAGATCGATCGAAGAGGATCGTATTATTGGAATAAAGTGGATGGTATTTTTGTTTCAGAGGAAGTTTTATAGTCTCCTAGTTCACTACTTATTCCTCTTTTCGATCGATTAATCATCCCGTTTCCTTGAATTTCACGATTGTGAAAACATTTGAAGATCGATCTCACTCGAGATATTTACTTTCAGAAGAAAGTGATTTCGTTTGTACAATTCTCTTTTTTTAATTAAAAAAGGATTTTTTAATTCGGATTGAGAGTTAAGCTTGTTTAAAATAATGGATTTCAAGAGAATTCGTTGCAGTTATAGATTAAATGAAAATAAATCGTTTGACACACACATGCATCCCCAACATTACCATCCAATTAAATTGAATTCACTTATTATTTAAATATTGATACATTCATTTCAAAATCTCTTATTTCCTTATAATTTCTTTTAATAGTCTATCCAACTATATAATACGACGAATTATTTCAAGGAAACATTCTTCAACATTCTCCAACCCCCAAAGAGATAAAGTTCTTTTAAAAAGCAGTAGAGGGTGATCAGCCACTATGACAATAAAATTTATCACCAAACTGTATATTTCTTCGTTCCTGGTCTCTTAAAATTGCTCCTGTTCGCGAGCTCGAAGAAAAGACGAAATCGAAGAGAGGCGAGGAGGAGGGAGGGTGTGAAAAAATAATAGGGGGATGACACCGGTGCGTACAGAGCCGATAAAAATCGTTGACAACAGCCGTGCCGTAAATTTCTTGGGGAGGAGAGAGAGGGAAGGGGGAGAGGAGGAGGAGAAAGAATTATTGCTGCCGGATAAAGGCAAGGAAACAACGACGATCCTGACCAAAAGTGCATGCAGCGCACGTGGAGACAACCCCAAGTCGCGGGGAGATGTGGCGTTACTGACATTAACTTACGCTACTTTTGCTCTTCGTTCTTCTCTTCTCCGAGCGTGACTCAACGAAAGGGTAAAAAAAGAAAAAAGAAGAAGAAGGAAAAAAAAAATAAAAAGGAAAAAAAAAAGTTCGATGGACCAAGATGGAAACACGGTGACAAAGGAAACTGCGAGCTGCGACTTAATCCGTGTATTGTTTCCCGTTTGAGATTTTTAAACCCCCTCGTCTTTCTCTTTGATGATCTCTTTGATCTTTGTCGATTGTTGTTGAATTAGAGAAACGTATGGATAAATTCAAGATTTATTACGTGATGTTTGTCGTAGAAAGATCTGACAGATTTTTAATTCAATTAAGAGCAGTATAAGTTTGAACT